AGAGCAGCTGGGGCGCTGCCGATTGGTCCTGCAGCGCCCGCTCTGGGCACTACTGGACCAACCCGGCAGCACCCCAGCTGCTCTGCCCCAGGCATCCCCAAGTCAGCTTCTGCTGCAACTGACCAGCGCTGACTACAGGAAGCCCCAGGCAGAGTTGCTCTGCCCCGGGCTTCCTGGAATCAGCTGCTGATCAGTTTCAGCAGCAGCTGACTTGGGGACGCCTGGGGTTCTTAAGTTGATTCTGTATGTAAGTCAGAACTGGCGGTCAGTTTCAGCAGTGTCTGAATCTGGATGCCAGTTCCGACTTACATACAGATTCAACTTAAGAACAAACCTACAGTCCCTATCTTGTACGTAACCCGGGGACTGCCTGTAATCGCTACTGCAATTCCTCCCTTTGTGATTCTATTCAGAATAAAGGCAGAGGGTAAAAAGGGGCCAGATCGTCACTCAGTCTGAACCATATAGAACCACTGACTTCACTGGAATGCCTCAGATTTACACCATGTAGAACCTGGCCCAGAAAGCTGAAGTGGTTAAAAAAAAAAATTAGCCAAGGGAACTGCTGAGGCTCACTCATTTTCAAGACAAAATCGAACCAAAAAACCACCACCACCTTTTTTCATAAACACAGGGCTTTTAACACTTCATTCTAGGATCAAGCAGCAGGAGAAGCTAGGCTGTGAGACACAATTCGAAACACAAATTTCAAACAATTTCAAATAGCATACAGCAGATGATGGATAAAATCAACTGCAAGCTTCCACCACTCTTAAAATACTAGCAATTCTGAATTAATTGTTTTATGAACTAGACAGTTCCTTAAGATGTCAAGTATCAGAGGGGTAGCCGTGTTAGTCTGAATCTGCAAAAGCGGCGAGGAGTCCTGTGGCACCTTATAGACTAACTGAAGTGTTGGAGCATAAGCTTTCGTGGGCAAAGACCCACTTCATCAGATGCATGTGACGAAGTGGGTCTTTGCCCACGAAAGCTTATGCTCCAACACTTCAGTTAGTCTATAAGGTGCCACAGGACTCCTCGCCGCTTTTCCTTAATATGAGCATGGGTAACAGGCCTCACTAGGGTTCAGTATCACAGAAAAGGGGAGATTTCTGAAAGCAGTGATTTCTCTGAGACCTGTACTCTCCTTACAGCTTGCTTCACCTCTCTCTTGGTAATATTGGATAGAAGGGAGGCAGCGAAGACTAGGAGTGCAGATGGAGGTTTGAAGAAATCTACCATGCAACCAGATACAAGCTAGTGAAGGGTAGGAGAGACAAAAGACCCATACCCAATGTGAAAAGTTACACAGTGCTCAGAGAAGAAGATTGCAAAGATGGCCAGGACTGAGGGTCTACGAAGAGGAATGGAGAGGATAGGCAGAAGCAGAATTAAGTCAGCCCCCATCCCTCACTTTTGCATTCTTAGGGCTCTATAACATTCTAAGGACCACACATTTCTTAATAGGTTTACATTTGACTGTTTGGGTCCCACCTCTCAAGAACCAAAAAGAGAAAAACCTTTGAAAACTAGGTATCTTCCCTACAAAATTAGAGTTGGTGAACTCTCAGCTCAGCTCCCAAACATAGCATGTTCTCCTGTTTGTTATACTACTCCCACAGCAGAAGTCCTGCATATCTATGTTTATGTATTGTTTTTTTAAGACAACTCAAGAAATATCAAATAGAATGAACCAATGTTATCTGCAGTTTCCAACATTAAACATTCATGTAGTATATGGAGGAATGATGGGTTTGGCCTTCAAGACTCATTGCAACAATATCTACCATCTTATATGATAGAAAGATCACTGCCAAAATAGCACTTTCATGTTTAATACTGTTAAATTCTTTAACAAATATTAACTAACCCTTGCAACACTTCTCTTAAGATAGTAATCCATTTTTACTCAAGGGAAACAAATCCAGAAAAAGTATTAAAGTCAAATTTTCAAATTTGGGAGTTCAAAAACAAGGCCATAAATCCATATTTAGGACAAAAAGAACATGGCCTGATTTGGAGAGCTGCTGAGTACCTATTTCCACTAGCTTGAGGATGGTGATGTGCAGGACTAGCCCATAGGCAGGATTAATACGCAGATCACTAGGCTTTGCTGTTACTAACAAGTGTGAGCATGTTTCATGGAGACAGAGAAAAAAGCAGCAGTAGTAAGACAGTACAAGCTAAATCACAATCTCAGTATTGTTTTCATGTTGTCATATTTAAATTACTCAAAAATAAAGACACTGGGGAGAAAAAAAGCAAGATGTTGTTTGGCCAGTCTTACCCGGGTCTGAGTAGATTGCAGAGTTTTTGACAGGACTTTCATGATCCTCCTCCTTTTCTTTCTGGTGACAAGCATTCAATAGAAATGTTACAGTGGAAGTGCACATTTACATAATTTAGCAGATAAATTCTGTATAATAATATCAGTACAAAAATAACATAAAGAATCTAAAAGGCCATTTAGAACCTTGGGATTTTGCTTCCCAGTTAGAACTGGAAATTACAAAGATATTGGAGGATTGGGTTACCTTCTTACTCAAACCAAGAATAAGAACAAACTCCGATCAGCCTCTGTAGGCAGTCAGTCGGACTTTGCTTCATATAGGTCTGAGCACAAAATTGGAACATAAGTAATACATTTTAAAAAACAACTCCTTTTCTGGAAAATGTGAAAACATATTTGACAAATTGCTAACATGGCCTTTTTCTAAAAGTACTTTTTATTGGAAGAGGGGATTTCTTTCGTTATTTTATTGTTTTTGCCATACAAAAAACCAAAAACATAAAATCTAAGTTAAAAAATGAATAAAAGAGGTTGAAGAGATGCCGTAAATTTGAGGTGGTCATTTCCCATGGACCATAATTTGAGAACGTAATCCATTATCATGTAATCACAGAATGTGCCAGCTGTGGTTTATGCCACAAAAGCATTTTGTAGAAACACGAAGCTTACAACATGCTGGAATTTTTTCAAATTTTGAAACTTGCTTTTTTTTTTTAAAATGAGGAAAATATTGAAACATTCATAATTTTTTTCTATGAGCTATAGTACCAAACTGTTCCAAATGTTGATTATTTAATTTAAAATAAAGGGGTGAATTTAAAAAAAATACATTTCCACATACCATTTTAAAAAACAATTCTAAAAGAGAATATTAGGGTGTTAAGCAGTTATGTCAGTGGAAGGCTATCCAATATGAGGTCCTTGAGCCGTTAGAGCAGGGGTGGGCAATAATTTTTAAAAGGGGGCTACTTCAGAAATTTCTGAAGTGGCTCCAGGCTGCCACAGAAAGAGCCAGGCCTCAGTGGAAGGGGCGTGGCCAAGAGACTTTTCGTGCTCCTCCACCCACAAACCCTGATTGGCCTGGGGGTGGGGGAATACATGAAGCCTTTTCCTTTCCTCTCCCGGTCCCCTGCAGCAAGTAGAAAGAATTGCCAGCTGTTTTAAAACAGCTGGTGGTTCCCTCTAGGCACCGCAGTGGGAGAAGACTTTGCATGCTTCCCCCATCCCCAGGCCAATCAGATGTCTCTCGCCCCCTGCCTCCGCCCTGCCAGGGGCATTCAGTGGTTAGAGGGAACCGCCGACTGTTTGAAAACAGCCAGCAGTTCCCTCTGGCACTATGCACCTCTGGCAGTGGAGGAGACTTCACACGCTCTCCTGCCCCCAGGTCTCAATTGGTCTAGGGTGGAGGAGTGGCAGTGCAGCCGCAGGTCAAATCCATCAGCTTGGTGGGCCAGATCTGGCCTGCAGAGGCTGTCTTGCCAACCCCTGCCTTAGAGCTATCTCGATGTAAAGGGACTTGATCTGTTAATCTACTTACTTTCTACAATAAACAAGAGTGATGGTGATGATCAGTATGGTTACGAGTAGTAATAGTGTGGCAGAAGCCCCTCCAGCAACAAGCAAAACATGCCAGTGATGATCCAAAGTTGCTAGAAGATAATGATAATAAAGATCATCAATAGTTTGAAGAGGCAGAAAATGTTCATATGCGCTAAGGTTCAAATCAACAGTTCTATGGATAAAAACATATTCAGTGAAAGCTAAAGGAGAAAATGAGACTAGCTCTCCCTTTCTTCCCTCCGGCCTCAGGATCAATTCTTCACTGTTACCTGTGTCTAGACTGGGGCTCTCAGCAGAGTTTACATTGATATCACAGAAGAGCACAAATACAGACATAGGGGGACAAAACAATGCATCACACAGCTCATTTTCTGCCCACTGAGGAAACCAGCAGCTGATATCTCTGACAAGATCTCTTCAGGTAGAAGTAATAAAAAATACTGCATGCTGGTCATGTAAAAGTTATTGCAGAATCAGATATAGCCTGTGCTTTAATCTACAGAGATTATCCTAAACAAGGATGTTGCCAGACTCTGGACAACATGGAGAGGACTCAGCTCCAGACCCTCCCCAGAAGGGTCAATCCTCAACTGGAAGGGGCCAGGCTTGGGCAGTCAGCCCTCAGTACCACCCAGACAATGCTGCAGCTCCCTCAGCCAGCCCTCAAAACCCAGACCAGATCCTGTGGCGCGCCAGTGGCGATTTAAAGGCCTGGGGCTCCACACGGTGCTAATGCTATGGTAGCAGCAGCCTGGAGCTCAGGGTGCTTTAAAATCCCAGGGTCCTGGGACAATTGCCCTCTTTGCCTATTCCCGTCAGCAGCCCTGAGTAGGCCAACAATCACTTCATACAGGTTGGCCCTCCCTGGTCGGGACCAGAATTTGCTGGACCAGGGGAGGTGTCCCATGCCATGAGCCCAGAGCCAGCTGCCCCCCTGACTCTGGCACCCTCTACCCTCTCCCCCTTCTCCCCACCCTCTCCCTCACTCTGCTACTGCCAGCCCCATGCTGCCTTTGGCAGCTGGGGTTCTCCACCCCTGGCCCATGCTGCTTTGTGTGGCCAGATTTTTCCAGACTTGCACTGCCATTGGTGGCCAGGTTTCTCCAGCCCCCAGCTCCACACTGCCACTGGCTGTCAGGGGGGCTGCCATAGGCAGCCAGGCTTCTCTGGCTCCCAATCCAGTTCTGCCATGGGTGCCTGGAATTCCCCATTCCCTGGCTCCACGTTGCTTTCCAGTCTCTGGTCCAGCACTGTGGTGGAGTTCCTCTGGCCCCACTGTCCTTGGCCCCAGCCAGGCTGCTGGCCCTCCTGCCCTTCAGGGGCTCGCTAGTCCAGGTGCATCCATGGTTTTGCTGGTCCATAGATAGTTCTGGACCAGAGAATACCCGTTTTCAGGGGTACAACCTGTACTCAGCCTCAATCTGTTTATATAGTTCCCCTCATCTGAGCACCACAAATTTTATTCAATATAGTCTCACAATACTCCTAATACATAAGGAGTGATTATCCCCATTTTACAGATGGGAAAACTGAAGCAAGGAGGGAGAGTGACTTGTCCAAGACTACTCAAAAACTGTTAGAGACAGGAACTGAGTATCAGTCCAGTGCCTGAGGCCGACAACTATCCTTCTTCAGTCCTGTTTACTTCACACACAATACTTATACTGAATAGATTTTCTCATATTCTTGGTACTAATTAAGAAAAGCAGAAAAAAAGTATGTTAAACCACAACTTCTAAATCAGCCTTTGTGCAGCCCACCACAATGCACTGCTTTCTCCTCCCATAAGCAGGAGGTAGGTGCCACTCAGATAACACTAGCTGTTAATAGCAGCATATGCTTTAGCTAGCTGCTTTCATCTCCTGTCTGCAGACTCTAAGATGCATAGTGTGAATGTCAGGTGCAAAGAGACATACCACCTAGCCCACCTGAGTGGTGGGTGAGATTCTGTCCAGATATTTGCACAGGAAAAAATGTTTCCTAATGTTCTTCTGCTTCTTATATTTTGCACATAAAGTGTAAGATCTAACCAAAGAAAATAGAACGTAAAACCAAATAAAGTTACGGTTATCAAATTCTGATGTGACAGAAAAATGAAAGTAGCAAATAGTAAAGAGGAAATGGGATGAGAAAAGCAAGTATCTGGTTTATTAAAAATCAAGACTTCTATCATTGGTTCTCAAACAGTAATGCAGGAAGCCATGGTTGGTCACATTCTGTTGTCTTGCCTCTTGGTTTCCATCTATTAAAAGACAGCTGAAGTGCCTTCCTAATATTATTTTTAATATAAGCAATTACTGTAATTGTCACAGATGTTCAGAATATATCTACACTACACCATTTTAGTGACATGGCTGTGTCAAGCCAGGCTGGCTAAACACTGTCGACACTTTTGTGGACAAAAATCGCCTGCCAACAAAGCACTGTTTACACTAGTACAAGTACAGAAAGTATGTGGCAAGTATAGCAAAGCTTTTGTCATATGGGGGAGAGAGAGGAGAAATGCTACAACAAAAGCTTTGTCACTCAATTGCCAGCACGGACAAAGCCTAAGTAATTGAAAATGGAAGGAAAGCAGACCATGAGAAAAACTCTCTATTAAGGTCTGTCCAGTTACTAAAGAACTTGAGAACTCTCACCATACATCATTTTCAATAGTAATAGAGAGGTAGCCGAGTTAGTCTGATATTGCTAAAAGAAAAGGAAAAACTATGTAGCACTTCAAAGACTAACAAAATGGTTTAATAGGTGATGAGCTTTCGTGGGCCAGAAAAGCTCATCATCTATTAAGCCATCTTGTTAGTCTTAAAAGTGCTGCATACATCATTTTGACATTACTATTTATTATTTGTACTACTGAGCCTATATTCAGTGGTGGCCCATCAATACAGGCAACGTAGGCGGTCGCCTAGGGCGCCAAGTTAAACGGCCATCGAGGGCTTTTGGAGGTGGGGCACCAGTTGCCAGTAGCTCATTAGGGCCACTCCTGCCTATATTACTACACCATCCTGGGTGTATAGATCCTATAGACACAAAGAAAGAGACAGACCCTGTCCCAAGGAGCTTACAGTTTAAACAGGCAAGCAGCAGACTAGTAGGCAGGTGATGAGGTAGGAAGGGCAAGGTAGCAATAACAGGAATACGTTTAACCAGGGACTAGCTAAATGCATGGTATGTATGTGAGACAAGCCAACCAGTGGCAGTCATCACAACTCACTACCTGCTTAAACATTACCAGATTACTGTGTTCTGTGGGCCTCATAGCAGAGATGAACACTTAGGAGAAGGACAAAAGAAACTGACAATGGTTAATGGCTACCGTGAAGAGAGACTGTAATTTGTTCACCAGCTTCTCTTCAATGCGAACATGCACATAGGATCCCATGCTTTAATTTCAATATTATTTTACAATAACAAAAATAAACTCAAATGTTTATGTTGCTGAAGGGACAGGGGACATTACAGCATTCTGACAGACTACACGAACTGAAATTGAAGCACTTTCATATTCTAAGTAGAGCCCAGAATGGATACACAATTTTGTATCTGCATCTGCAAAAATGAACTGCCAATATCCTCGTCCGCATCTGCAAATACGGATACCAGTAGACATTGAGTGGATAACTGTGGATTGCAGGGCTGTAATATTATGCACATAGAAAAGCCTCTGGCTTTATGTTTTGAGCTTGATTTGTCATATGTTTATAATGACAAAGGAGAAGAGAAAAGCATGTTACATTTCCTTCCAAGATATTACACGGCATTAATCAGTCTTAGGCCTGCTGACGGAGGGGTGAGGAGGAGAAAGGGGGCAACTGCTTTGGGGTCTCTGTGATTCAAAAGGGCCCAGGGCTTCTGGCCGCTTCCATCACTAACGGCCAGTACTGACGGCAGACTGCTCCCAGACCTGCCCCTTTGGCCTGAGACCCGTCCCTTCTTAGAACATGGAGCAAACCCTCACCCACCTTGCCAAGGAGACCGGCAAGTTTTTCGGCCCTTATCAGTCTTTAAATCAGAAGAATTTTCCAAGTACCTTAGGCAATTACAGAAACAAACAAAACATTGACCTGTATGGAACAGTTCAAACATATTCATACATTAGCTGCTTTGATAAAATAGAGCATTTCATTATTATCTGTGCCAAAACATTGGATACCAATCCCCTCAAACTTCAGGAAAGAGCTTGATGCAGATCCAGCCTACACTTCTGAATTGATTTCCATCCCTGTAAGGTAGATCCCATCCAGAAAACTGCCCTCAAAAACTTAGGGGAGTTCTGGCACCGGTGTTACCAGACTGCGCTCATATCTGATTTATGGTAATTTGAACATTGCGATTACCAGCTAGCTCATTAAAATTGGATAAAAACATTCTATAGAAGCAAAAATGGTGCCTAGAACCCCTTTCACCTTTTCTCAGTTGAAGTGAATTATGCTCGCCTGCTGCTTTTGTTTTCATAAATGTACCAAACCCTCCCGTAACAGCTGACCTTTTAAGATTCAAGATTTCACAGAAACAATATTGACAAGTCAGAGACTTGTCACTTGTCCCTTTAATACCAGTTTTCTGATGGAAGGAGCTAGGTGGGTAGGAGACTATTATATCTGTTCTAACAGCCAGAGCCCATTTCCTCTAAGCGTTGGACAGCAAACAGTGTTGATATTTTCTTCACACCAGAATTCTGGTAATTTCATGGGTGAAGTCTTTCAACCTTCAACATGCTGACAGCGACTCTGAGAAGGAAACCTGGACAGTTACAGTGCATTGTGACCAAATAAGAGGCTTGTATTACACTGTAAGGAGCTCGCTATATGCCTCGCTGGAATGATACGTACAGTATGATAACTATATGCTGCTGGAACTGCTTGATGGGCAAATGAGAAAGAGAAAGGAAGCAACACACACACACGTTCATGCTTTGTTTGGGGAAACAGCCTGTTTGGGGAAACAGGCTTTGTTAACTCTTAAAAATCCTACAGACACACTTATTTCATCTAGGAATCTAAGGTGAGGGAAAAGAACTAATTCCACTCCGCTCCTCTCTCATCACTCCTGTCTTCCTACAATAACCACTCTGCCCTCTCAAATC